TTATCCTTGGTTTGTCTAGTTTGAAACTGTACCCTGTGTGAAGCTCAAGATGGATTCCTCTTAATCACAGAGAAGACCAGGTAAAATTTGCTGTGCTGTCCTTTGTTCTATGGTGCTCTCACCTTATTACCAGACTTCCTTGTGCTTGCCTTCCCTCTCAGGTCCAGATATGCAAGTAGTCTTCTTTTCTTACTTATTACATAATAATTGTACATATTTATGGGGCATATGTAATAATTTGATACATACATACAGTATGTAATGATCAAATCAGGGTATTTATTATATCCATCACTTCAGACATTTATCATTTCTTTATGTTGAGGACATTTCAACCCTTCTAGCTGTTCTGAAATATACAATAAATTATTGTTAACTATAGTCACCCTATTGTGCTTTTGAACACTAGAATTCATTCCTTCTCTCTAACTTCATTTGCATACCCATTAACGAACGTCTTTTCATTACTACCCTGTCCTCAAACCCTTCCCAGCCTTTGGTAACCATCATTCTACTCTTCTTTTTTTCTTTGAGATGGAGTCTCACCTTGTTGCTCAGGCTGCAGTGCGGTGGCATGATCTCAGCTCACTGCAACTTCTGCCTCCCTGGTTCAAGTGATTCTCCTGCCTCAGCCTCCCGAGTAGTTGGGGTTTCAGGCACCCACCATGCCAGGCAAATTTTTGTATTTTTAGTGAAGATGGCATTTCACCATGTTGGTCAGGCTGGTCTTTCCTGACCTCAAGTGATTCACCCGACTCCACCTCCCAAAGTCCTGGGATTACAGGCATGAGCCACTGTGCCAGGCCTCATTCTACTCTCTACCTTCAGGAGATTAGCTTTTTTAGCTCTCGCATGTGAATGAGAACATGTGATATCTGCCTTTCTGAGCCTGGCTTATTTCACTTAATATAGTAACCTCCAGCTCTATCTTTGTTGCTGCAAGGAACAAGATTTTATTTTTTATGGCAGAATAGTATTCCCTTGTGTATGCATATCATATGTGTGTGTGTATGTATGTATGTATGTGTGTGTATACACACACACACACACACACATATATATATACACACACACACACACGCACTTTTTTTTTTGAGGAAGGGTCTCACTCTGTCACCCAAGCTGGAGTGCAGTGGCATGATCATGGCTCACTGCAGCCCTGACCTCCCGGGCTCAAGCCACCCTCCCACCTCAGCCTCCCAAGTGGCTGGAACTACAGGCATGTGCCATCATGCTTGGATAATTTAAAAAATTTTTCTTTCGTAGAGACAAATCTCGCTATATTGCTCTGGCTGGTCTTACACTCATGGGCTGAAGCGATCCTCCCATCTAAGCTTCATAAGGTGCTGGGATTACAAGGCATAAACCACCAAGTTCAGCTCCACATTTTCTTTATCCATTTTTCTGGTTATGGACACTTAGATTGATTCCATATCTTGGATATTATAAATAATGCTGCAGTAAGCATGGGGTGCAGGTATTCCTTTTATATACTGATTTCCTTTTCTTTGGAAAAATATTGAGTAGTGAGATTGCTAGATTGTATGGTAGTTTTTTAGTTTTATTTATTTTTTCTTTTTTGGAGAAACCTCCATGCTGTTTTCCATAATGATTGGTTTAATTTACATTCTCACAACAGTGTATAAGAGTCCTCTTTTCTCTGCATCCTCACTAGCGTCTGTTATTTTTTGTCTTTTTGATAAAAGCCATTCTGTGTGAGATGAGATGATATTTCACTGAGGTTTCACTTTGCATTTCCCTGATGGTTAGTAGTATTGAGCATTAAAAAATATATATATATATATCTGTTGGCCATTTTTATGTCATCTTTTGAGAAATGTCTATTTAAATCCTTTGCCTGCTTCTTAATGGGATTATTTGTTTGTTTTTGTTTTTTTGTTTTTGCCATAGAGTTGTTTGAGTTCGTTGTATTTTCTGAATATTAATCCTTTGTCACATGTATAGTTTGCAAATATTTTCTCCCATTCAGGATGTTGTCTCTTTAATCTGTTGATCATTTTCTTTGCTGTGCAGAAACTTTGTAGTTTTATATAGCCCCATTTGTCTATTTTTGTTTTTGCTGCCTGTGCTGTTAAATTCTTAGCCATAAAATCTTTACTTGGACCAATGTCCTGAAGCATTTCCCCGTGTCTTTCATAGTTTTGGATCTTACTTGTAAGTCTTTAATACATTTTGAGTCAATTCTTGTATATGGTGAGACATATGAGTGCCACTTCATTTTTCTGCATATGGGTATCCAATTTTCTCACGTATGAAGAGGCTGTCCTTTTCTAAACATGTGTTCTTGGCATCTTTGTCAAAAATCATTTGGTTGTAAATATGTGGCTTTATTTCTGGGTTTTCTATTCTGTTTCATTAGTCAGTGTGTCCGTTTTTCTGCCAATACCATGTTGTTTTGGTTACTCTAACTTTGTAGTATATTTTGAAGTCAGATAGTGTGATGCCTCCAGCTTTGTTTGTTTTCTTGGGATTGCTTTGGCATTTGGGTTCTTTTGTGGTTCCATAAGAATTTTAGGATCAGTCTTTCTAATTCTATGAAGAATGATATTGGTATTTTGATAGGGATCGCACTGAATCTGTAGATTGCTTTGGGCAATATGGTCATTTTAATGATGTTAATTCTGATCCATGAGGATGGGATGTTTTCCCATTTTTTGATGTCCTTTTCAATTTCTTTCATCAGTGTTTTGTAGTTTTCCTTGTAAATATCTTTCACCTCCTTGGCTAAATTTGTTACTACATACTTTTTTTTGTAGCTGTTGTAAATGGGATTGCCTTCTTGATTTCCTTCTCAGCTAGGTTGTTATTGGTACGTAGAAATGCTACTAATTTTTTGTACGTTGATTTTGCTTCCTGCAACTTTATTGAATTCATTTACTAAATCTGAGAGGTTTTTTTGGTGAAACCTTTAGTTTTTTCTAGGTATAAGAACATATTCCTATTATCTAATTTGGATGCCTTTTATTTATTTCTCTTACCTGATTGCTCTGGCTAGGATTTCCAGTACTGTGTTGAGTAGGAGTGATGAAAATTGGCACCTTTGTCTTGTTCCAGTTCTTAGAAAAAAGGTTTTCAGTTTTTCCACATTCAGAATGATGTTAGTTTTGGGATTGTCATATGTAGACTTTATTATGTTAAGGTATATTCGTTCTATGCCTAATTTGTTGTTAGTTATTATCATGATGGGCTGCTGAATTTTATCAAATGTATTTTTGCATCTATAGAAATGATCATATGATTTTTGTCCTTCATTCTGTTGATGTGATATATCATATTTATTGATATGTGTGTCTTGAACATCCTTGTATCCCTGGGATAAATCCCACTTGATCATGGTGTAGTATCTTTTTGATGTGCTGTTGGATTCAGTTTGCTAGCATTTTGTTGAGGATTTTTGCATCTATGTTCAGTAGTAGAGATATTGGCCTGTAGTTTTTGTTATTGTTGTCGTTGTGTCCTTGTCTGATTTCAGGATCAGGGTAATGTTAGCCTTGTAATGACTTAGGAAGCAATCCATTCTCTTCTATTTTTTGAAATAGTAAGAGAATAAATGGTGTGTATTTTTCTTTATAGTTTGGTAGAATTCAGCAGTAAAGCAATTCAATCCTCAGCTTTTCTTTATTGGGAGGCTCTGTATTGCTGATTTGATCTTGTTACTCATTATTAGTCTGTTCAGGTTTTATGTTTTTCCATGATTCAATCTTGGTAGGTTGTATGTGTCCAGGAACTTCCCATTTCCCCTAGGATTTCCCATTTGTTAGTGTACTTTAGTTGTATCTCTGTGGTATCACTTGTAATGTCTCCTTTTTCTATTCTGGTTTTATTAATTTGGGTCTTCCTTTTTTCTTAGTCTAATAGAAGTTTTGTCAGTTTTATTTTTTAAAAAAACTGCTTTCGGTTTCATTGATCCTTCATATTTTTTTAGTCTCCATTTTGTTTAGTTTTGCTTGAATCTTTATTATTTCTTTTCTTCTACTAATTTTGGGTTTGAATTCTCCTAATTTTTCTAGTTCTTTGAGGTGCACCTCTAGGTTGTTTGTTTCAAATCTGCTTTTTTTTAATGTAGACATTTATTTCTGTAAAATTCCATCTCAGCACTGCTTTTGTTATACCAATACCATAGGTTTTGGTATGCTGTGTTTCCATTTTCATTCATTTCAATAAATTTTTTGACTCCTTCTTAATTTCTTCATTGGAGCATTAGTCATTCAGGAGCAAGTTGTGTAGTTTTCAGGTATATATACAGCATTCAAGGTTCCTCTTGCTATTGATTTCTAGTTTTATTCCATTGTGGTCTGAAAAAATGCTTGATATGAGTTCAGTTTTTAAAATTTGTTGAGATTTGTTTTGTGGTCTAACATATGGTCTATTCTGGAGGATGCTCCATGTGCTGCTGAGGAGGATTATATTCTCCTGTATATATATTCTGCAGTTATGGGGTGAAATGTTCTGTAAGGTCCGTTTGGTCTAAAGTGAAGTTTAAATCCAATGTTTCTTTGTTGATCTTCTGTCTAGATGATTTGTCTAATGCTGAGAGTGGGATATTGAAGTCCCCAACTATTATCATATTGGGGTCTATCTCTACTTATAGATCTAATAATATTTGCTTTATATATTTGGTGTTATAGTGTTGTGTGCATATATGTTTAGAATTGTGTTTCATAATGGTAGATATTATTTTTTGCTTCCAGATACAGGACTCCCTGAAGCATTTCTTGTAGGGCTAGTCTAGTTGTGATAAATTTCCTGTTTTTGCTTGTCTGGGATACTTAATTTCTTCTTCATTTTTGAAGGATAGCTTTGCTGGTTGTGATATTCTTGTCTGACTTTTTTCTTTCAGTACATTGAATATATCATCCCATTCTTTCTTGGCCTGTGAGGTGTCAGCTGAGAAATCCACGTTAGTGTGATATGGATTCCCTTACATGTTACCTGATGCTTTTCTCTTGCTGTTTTTATAATTCTGTCTTTGTCCTTAGGTTTTGACAGTTTGACTATGAAGTACTTTGCAGAAGACCTTTTGGGGTTGAATCTATTTGAGGATATTTGAGATTCTCGTATTTGGATATCTATATCTCTTCAAGACCTAGTAAGTTTCTATATTTTGTTAAATAGCTTTTCTATGCCTTTGCCCATCTCTTCTTTTGGAGCTCCCCCAATTTGAATATTTGGTCACTTTATGCTGTTTATATGTGCTTTTCTTCATTCTTTTTTATTCTTTACTCTTTTCTTTTTTTTGCAGGGCAGTGTCTGACTTTGTTATTTCAAAGAACTGTCTTCAAGTTTAGATATTCCTTCTTCTGCTTGATCTAGTATATTGTTGAAATTCTCAATTGTATTTTTAAATTTTATTCATTGAGTTCTTCAGTTCCAGTATTTCTCATTACTTCTTTTTCAGCATATCTTTCTCTTTGTTGAATGTTTTGTTCAGATCGGGAATTGTTTTCTCCTAATTTCTTTGTATTATTTATCTATGTTCTCTTGTATGCCCCTGAGCTTCTTTAGCATCATTGTTTTTAATTCTTTTTCAGGCATTTCATAAATGTCCAATTTTGGTATCTGTTACTGGGTAATTATTGTGTTCCTTTGGAGGTGTCTTGTTTCCTTGCTTTTTCATTTTTTTTTTTTCATGTTTCTTATATAAGGATACAAGATTTCCTTGCTTTTTCATGTTTCTTATATAAGGATGCAAGATGCTGATATCTGCATATCTGGTATAACAGTTGTCTCTACCAATTTTATGGATTGGTTTTCTTAGGTAAAGACTTTTTCCTGTAGATGTATCTATATTATTGGTTGGGTAGGGTGATTTGGCTTTGATTGTGAGTTGGCACAGCATTATAGTTTCTGTATGATTTCTTCATTTGTAATCAGTGTTAGTGGTGTTTGTCAGTTCTTCAGTGGGCTAGGCTGTGATTGTTAGTAGAGGCTGTGGCAAAGCTTTGCTGGGGATGGGGATTCCAAATAGTTCAGTCTTGGGTACCAGTGGTGGAAGTAGCAGGTTGGGTGTGCAGATCCACGGCCCCCAGGTGGTGTGCCAGGTGCCAGTGGTGGCGTGTCTAGGTGGGCTGGTCCTTGGGGCTCCAGGCAGCTTGCTTGGGTACTAGCAGTGGGCCAGGCAGGTAGGTGGGTCCTCAGGCCTGTTGGCAGTGTGTGTTGGGTCAGTGGTGGTAGTGGCAGTGGTAGGCTAATACTGAGGCCCTTGAATATCATGCACAGGTGCCAGTAGTGGCATGAGAGGGCTGGGTGGGCCAGTTTCCAGGACCATAGGTGGTGCATTCAGGTGTGTGCCAGCAATAGTGGCAGCAGCAGGTTGAATGGTCCAGTACTTGGGTTTTTGGGAGGCAGGCATAGTCACCAGCAATAGAGGGATGGGTCTATCTTCAGGCCACTGGACAGAGTACATGGGCAGCGGTAGTGGTGTGGTGGGCCTATCCTCAGGCTACTGTAAAGTGTACATGGGTGCCAGTGGTGGTGGATGGCAGGAGTTGATCTCTGAACTCTTGGGTAATGTGCTGGGGCTCCGGAAGCAGTGGCAGTGGTGGTGGGCAGGGTGAGTTTGCCCTCAGGCCCCTCAGACAGTGTGTGTGGGTGCCAGCAGTGGCAAGGGGGATGAGTTGATCCCCAGGCCTCTGGATGACATATGCAGGTACCTGTGGTGGTGGCTGGAAGTAGGGAGGGCCTGTCCTAAGGCCCCCGATGGGGTGCACAGATGCTTGCTGTGGTAGGTAGGGTACACAGTGGTATTTTAAATTTTATTTCATTTTTGGTATATTTGCTGAAACACTCATTTGTTCATTTGTGCTTTTATCACCTAGATCACATATTCAGGGTGGAGATGACTCAAGATCTCCAATTTCTTTCATTCTTGATTTCTGGTAGACTTGGGTGTGGGTTCCTAGGGGTGAAGATTTAATGTAACTGCCTATCCAACTATGAATCAAATTCTGTTTCATGATTCACAACTTGAGTCATCAAATATTATTTTTGGCAAGTCAGGGACATTCTATAGATGTTGAAAACAGACTTCATAGTTAATACATACTAATTGTGCTGATAGAAATGGCTTTATTGAGAATTTATTACTTGCTTGTTAGACGTTAATGCAACTGAAAATTAACACAGGTAGCAAATTTGGCTCAAATAAAGGTAAGAAATTTTATATTAAATATGTATTAATATTTGTGTATTTGTGTATGTATGCTCATGCAAATATATATATGTATATGGTTGAATCATGTGAAATTACAGCTTCTTTAGTTCAAAAATAGACAAATGTCAGCAATATCATATGTTTCATATATGTATTTTTTATATATTTCAGATTTTAGCTGCCTTATGAAAGCAATAGCAAAGATGTCTAGTTTTCTTTTTTCTTAAAAAGAGGAACAATCAAACGAGTCACTTGGGTCCTAAAACAAAATTTTCTTTACAGTTGTCCCTCAGTATCAGTGAGAGATTTGTTTCCAGGATCACCTATGGATATCAGAATCCATGGATGCTCAAGTCCCTTATATTAAATGGTGTATTTTCATAAAAGCTATGCACATCCCACTGTATACTTTAAATCATCTTTATATTACTTATAATACCTAGTGCAATGTAAATGCTATGTAAATAGTTGTTATATTGTTTAGGGAATAATGAGAAGAAAAAAGTCTTTATGTGTTCAATGCAGACACAACCATCATTTTTTCCCCGAATTTTAAAAATTCATAGTTTGTTGAATCCATGAATGCAGTACCCATGGATACAGAACCCATGGATACAGAGGGCCAAATATATATAAAATATTTTAATCTTGGGGAATGGTGGAAAAAATACTGTAATAAGAATGTCCTGTCTCACAGAAAACTTAGAATGCTTTTGTCCTTCCTCTAGTTAATTCTTCCAAGGTCAGGGCATATCTATCCATGAAGGCTGACATCACCATTCTAGTTCACAGTGTGAGATTTTTCCCACTGAACTTAGTGATTTTTCCTTTGCTACCATTATTTTAGTAACTCTGTATTACCTTGTTTTAAATAAATTATAAACTCCTTGGGAACAGAGACTGTACCTTATTTCTCCACAACCCTGCAGGATCTGTTGATTTGACTGAGCATTTGACTTGAAAAGCATCCCAAATAGGATTTAATTACCTAAGTCGGTGGAGTGATAAGGAATGACAGAACACAAAAAATGATGCATCTTGGGAAATCAGAGATCATCCTGCTTTCAGGAATTTACAGTCTCCATTGGGAGACAGTGCAGAAACTCATTAGTGAGGTGAAATAATCCCTATTGTAGGTTCTCTTAATTGTTCTTAATTCTAGCAGAATGGTAAGAAGAAGCTTAATCTGCCATATTGGATGTTCTCTGGCTAAATTGAGTGTAACAATCTTCATCTATTGATTTTAGTATGGCACTGATAATGTTTAACTGATAAATAATAAAAGTCTGCCAGTTACCTAGTTTGTGCACTTATATTGATAATAGGGTGGCATTTTCTTTGTTAGATGAATTCAAAGATATATGTAAATAATCTACAAATATAAAATCCAATTTTTAATATGTTCTAATGTTTAACAACACTATCTGCAACAAAATACCCTCATATCTCAAAAGCCAATGACAATTTTTATCACAGCTCAGGAAAGACCTTAAGGTAATAAATGACAATATTTCAGCTAACACTTTTTTCTTCTTTTGTCCTTTCTATTTTTTTTAAGACAACTTAGTGCCCTAAAGAAGAAGAAAGATAATGGTTCGCAATCAATGCTCATGGACCAGACACCTAATCTGAACTTAACCAAAAAGTCAATATTTAGCTGTACCTTATCAGTGTGGAAATGTCAAGCATAGCAAGAGGCACGAACAAATTTCCAAGTGATTTCTCTTTTTTTAATGTTTCGGTGTTCACAGCTATGTGGAAGCATTTCAACATCAGATAAGACAAAACGGCCTTTGGGAGAAAAAAAAAGACAGCAAATTACAATACTTGCACTTGCTGAAACCACAGTTTATGAGAGGAAAGCAGACGCTGGAGATGCATTCTATTCTCTCCTAGCCCATTCCCTGGGTCACCTTCCTGCCTGTGTGATGCTAGCCCTTGATTGTTACCCACAGCTGGCAGCCTTTAAGAGACAGATATGGTGAAATGTCTCCTTGCTGAGTAAAGTCATAATTTGTTGCCACCCAACATAATTGACACAAATCATTTGCATTCTAAATTTCCATGCCTAGGAGTAGATATATCAAGCATGACTAGAAGGACTGTGGGTCTGCGAAACAGGAGCTCCACCTGGATTTCCTGGAAGTTATGGCCAGTTAATGTAGAGAAAGAGGTTTTCAAAATTGTAAGAACTTCAGGACCTTTGTCAGAATTCCATTTCACTCCACAGGACTCCAGCTAACCTCACCCACATAACTGGTGTTGAAAGTTTTATTTTGTTAGAAAATAATGTTACACTGGAAAAACCTATGCTGGTACTCACATTTAATGGGATGGTTGGACTGTCTGTCAGCAAGAAACATTTGGTTATGGAAAAAAGGAAACAACACAAGAAAGAAAGGTGATGATTTAAATGGATAAATATGCATTATTGCTAACTGACTTTTTAAGGAATTGTGGGTGGACTTGACATAACAGGGAACATGAACATGGAGATCTGAAAAATAGTGATAGAGAAAACATCATTTCATCTGGGACTACAACTAGAAAGGACCTATGTGAACTAGATTCACAGAACAGTGAGTCATAGAGTTCACAAAGGCCAGTGACCAACCATTTCAAACTATGTATATAGTAAGAATCATGTAGGTGCTTGTTAAAAATGCAGATTCCCATGGCCTTCCCTCTGGAGATGCTGATTCAGGGTGTTAAAATACTTCATGCAGGGGCCATTACACTGGGGTGGCTCCATTGCTCTGAGTTTCTACTAAACAAACTGAAACCCAACTCAGTGTTAACAGGAAAACAACCAATCAGAAACTGCCAACTTACCTCTAGTGGGGCTTTCTACTGGAATCATCCAAATAAGGATACTGATCCACTTTAACCAATAAAAGATTTTATTTGCCTTGTTTCATGCATTCACCCTAAAAAGC